TGTGCTACGTGGGGGGCTTTCCACGTGGTAGACAGAATGCAGATTGCCCATTTTGTAGCTTTTCACTAAAACAAATATAAATATTAACCTTACACTTTATTTATTGTAGGTTTGTTTTCGTTTTTATATACTGTTAGTAATATTAGGATGGCGGCAAATATAAGTTTAACAGTTTTGTTTTCACCGATATGTTGCATATCTTTAAAATGTTTGTAGACCTGCGATGCTACGACATTCTACCAGTGTATAGAAACTATTACAGTCCATTTATTCTACATTGTAAGCTACCACTTTCTCAACTACAGTTGGTTTAATTCTGTTTTACAGTACCACATTCAACCTTTTTTTCCTGGTAAAAAAAACAACAACAACAATTGGGCGCCCCCCCCCAGTGCACAGTAGTATGTCTGCGGACTTACAACGCTAGAAACCGGGTTTCGATACCCGTGGGATTTTTACAACTTGATAAACTGGATTTCAACTTACCGATGAGGGTACAAGTATTGGTAGTCCATTAGTTTACATTTGTCCCCCAGTAGCACAGCGGTATGTCTGCGGACTTACAATGTTAGAATCCGGGTTTCGATACCCGTGGTGGGCAGAGCACAGATAGCCTATTGTGTAGCTTTGTGCTTAATTACAAACAATACAATACATTAACAGCTTACATTTATATGACATGCTGGCTTATATAATCAAAAGCACGGTTAACTTAGGACTAAATTTTTGTCTGATACGTTTGCTGGCTTTTGTTTTTTTTTCTTTTTAGACAAATTGTTAAACAGTATTAATACTTCTAAATTCATTACATCCTAGCATTAAATTTCTTCATGGGAATAGGAAGTGGTGGATTATCTTTTTTTTAAAGCCATGGCAAGTAAAGTTAATAATGTTTTTAAAACAAAAGTATTCAGCAAGAAAACTTATCTCTGCTTGAATTTAATATCGGCTCATCAAATGAGGCGTAAAAATAGGGATTATAAAAAACTATTGTCTATAGCTAAGGTTAATTATAATTCAAAGAAGAGCTGGATAAGGAAACACATTATCTGGGAACTGTACTGATAAAAAAATTAATAATTATCATATTAATGCGGCTCAATTAAATCCTGAAAAGAAACCACATTAAGGTGGTTAGGTTTATTGTGTTAGTCAGTCTGTGCGCACATGGTTTATCAGCCACAATATAAAGAACAAGCTGAGAAACAGAAATAGATACATAAATTTCCAATTGTTGTTTTTTTTGTTTGAAGTTAAGCACAAAGCTACACAATGGGCTATTTGTGCTCTGCCCAGAGCATTTGTTTTCGTACTTAAGAGAGGAAGTGGTGTAAAATAAGCATTTGTTTTCATACTTTCAGAGAGTAAGTTGTGTAAAATAAGAATTTGTTTTCATACTTATAGAGAAGAAGTGGTGTAAAATAAGTATATGTTTTCACACTTACAGAGAGGAAGTGGAATAAAATAAGCATTTGTTTTCATACTTATAGAGAGAAAGTTCTGTAAAATAAGTATATGTTTTCATACTTATAGAGAGGAAGTGGTGTAAAATAAGCATTTGTTTTCATACTTATAGAGAGGAAATGGTGTAAAAATAAGCATTTGTTTTCATACTTATAGAGAGGAAGTGGTGTAAAATAAGCATTTGTTTTAATACTTATAGAGAGGAAGTGGAATAAAATAAGCATTTGTTTTCATACTTACAGGGAGGAAGTGGCGTTCTTAGATTTTCACATTTCCTCCTGGCCAGAAAGGGTACAGTCAATAGATTCTTTGATCGGCACTTGTGTAAATAATGATACAACATCAAAACTACCTAAAGGAACTTCGAGGATTAAGCCCAGGTACACTTTACTGCGCATGACACAAAGTTTTAGTGTCTTACATTCAAAATTTTATTAAACTTTATGTTTATGTTATACCAATTAGAGTAGCATAAAATCTTAGCTAATAATCCATATTTTAATAGTATACAAGTTTTAAGTTCTTAATTCTACAAAGAAATATATATATAAAAATCCTGAATTTCTACTAGTGTAACACACATGACAAATTTTGTCTTAGCATATCATCATCCCTATTTTATTCACTACTCCTCGAAAATGTAGGAAATTAAACGTAAAATGCTCTCTATAAAATCGTTATTGCTCAAACAGACCATAATTTTTATGGCCTTCAATTTTGTTTTGTTACAGAGCTATCAAAGAGAAAATCAAACCCCTCCTGCTACACCCACCTGTCACATCCTCTCTTTCACAATTGGTTGATAGTTCTCTTTTACATTTCATTATATATTATTTATAACCAATAGAAAGTCTAGGTTTTCATCTATCAAATGTCGTTTTGTATAACATTGTGTTCTGAAAAGATAACCATCAATGTCACTCGGAGTAGCAATTTCTTTCTTATTTAAGTAAATAAAAATTAGTTAAGTGCTTTACCATAATTGCTATATATATATAATAAAAAAAAGGGTAAGTACTTTATTTCTTGTTTTTCATATTTATTCTTTATTTATCATTATAAAAGTAACTAGAATTAAAAGTATGGATCTTTTTAGGTTTTTTAAGACTAGAATAGGTAAAATAAGTAATAATAATAATAATATAATTAAAATTGTTCACAAAGCATGCACGCGAGCAGCTTGTGGGTAATGTAATTCGATAGCGTAACGTGAGCTGCACATTCCCCAAGTGATTTACAACTTATAATGGCGCGAATAGGGCAAT